CGCAGCTACCTTGGCTTGCAGATCACCCGCGATAGAGCACAGCGCACCATTACCCTGACTCAGTCACACATGGTGCAGCAGGTCCTTCAGCGCTTCGGCTTCACGTACTCCTCGCCTCAGGCCACTCCTCTGTCTACTCGCCACTCGCTCTCAGCTCTGCCTTCGGATGAGTCCATAGAGTCGAGTGGCCCATACCCAGAGCTTGTTGGCTGCCTCATGTGCCTGATGACCTGCACACGACCTGACCTTGCATACCCTCTTAGCATCTTGGCACGCTATGTTGCTCCTGGGACACACCGACCAGAGCACATGGCTGCAGCAAAGAGGGTGTTGCGCTACGTGTGCAGTACGTCGGGCATGGGGCTAGTGCTTGGAGGGCGACGTAGAGTGGTCCTCACAGGTCACGCAGACGCTTCTTGGGTTGATGACCAGGCTATGCAGCGGTCGTCACAGGGTTACACCTTCAGCCTTGGCTCCGGCTCTATTTCGTGGCGGTCTACGCGCTTGTCCTCTGTTCTCGGCTCCAGCTGTGAAGCTGAGATCTACGCAGAGGCCATGGCTGCACAGGAGCTACGCTGGCCCACCTACCTTCTGGCTGACCTAGGAGAGCCGCCTCGTTCTCCTCCAGTTCTGTACGTAGACAACAAGGCCATGCTGGCCTGGTGTCGGGAGCATAGACTGGAGCACAGAACGAAGCACATTCCTCTCCGCTACTTTCTGGCTCGTGAGCTGCAGCAGCGTGGTCAGCTCCGCCTCACCTACATGGCCTCTGAGGCCAACACTGCTGATATCTTCACCAAGGCCCTTCCGCCTTGTGATCATTAGCGTTTCTGTAGTGTGCTAGGTCTTGTGCCTACCTGGCCTCACTTGCTCACTTCTTGATCTTGTTTGTACTGTATTCTTTCTATACCTGCCCTTGCTTGTTTTACCTATATATATATGACCTTGCATGTGAACTGGCCTTGTTGCCTTACTCTTATGCTCGGACTGTGTGGTGACTTTGTGATCCACCCTGAGCTTGCTTTGCTTTGCTTTGCTTGACTGGTCTTGTGACCACTTGTTCTCCCCAGTTTGCCTATGGGGGTGTGAGAGAACATTATAGCTTATACATTTGTGTAGGGTGTAGTGGGGTAGCCCATAAGGGGTACATTCCAATTAGGGTTAGTACTTGTACCCAACTGTTTCATAGTTCATTCATTCCATTCTCACTTCTCGTCAGCAGTTTTACCACCCCACCTCGCGCCATGTCTTCGCCTCTCATGTTGTCATCTTTGACGATTCGGTACCCTTTTACCGTCTCTTCCCCTACCGCATTGCCCCGCTCCCCCCCCCCCCCCCCCCCCCCCGCCGCTCTTCCTCACCCCAGGTGTCCTGTCGGTAGGCCCCCTCCCTTCCAAGGGTGCTGCTTCATCAGGTGTTTCCCAGGTAGACCTGGTCGAGCCTGTCGAGGTAGTTGTTGACTCTGGTCCTGCACGAGGTGCTGAGCGTGCTGAGCCTCGTGGTGCTGGGTATGGGGGTACTGAGACTAGGGGTGCTGAGCCTAGGGGTGCAGAGTCTGGGGGTGCTGAGTCTAGGGGTGCGAAGACGGCGGGTGGTGAGCCCTGGGGTGCTGCGACTGGGGGTGCTGAGCCTAGAGGAGCTGAGGCTGGAGGTTCTGAGACTGACCGTACTCCCAGCGTTACAGCCTCCGTAGTGGGGCTACTAGAGCTGGGAGGTCTGCTGGAGTTGGGGCTGGTGGCCCTGCGGGTACAGTGTCGCGGCGGGAGCATCCCTCCCCTCAACGGCTGCATGAGTGGTACGCTCGGCGCTGCAGCCTCTGGAGTGGAGCTCCTGGTGTTGAGGTACAGCCCGCTGGAGGCCCTACTGCTGCTGGAGGTTCTGGAGCTGCTGGAGGTGCTGCTGGTGCTGGAGCTACTAGAGGTGCTGCTGGTGCTGGTTCGGTTGGAGGTTCTGGAGCTGCTAGAGGTGCTGCTGGTGCTGGAGCTGCTGGAGGTGCTGCTGGTGCTGCTGGAGGTGCTGCTGGAGCTGCTGGAGGTGCTGCTGGTGCTGGTTCGGCTTGAGGTTCTGGTGCTGTCTCTGCTGCTTTTGGGGGCACTTCACGGCCGCGGCCGTACTTCGTTCTGCTCCTTCAGCAGGTTCTTGGTCAGCCACCTCCTCCTAGTCCTCCACCCTCCTTAGAGTGTCCTCCGCCTGTCCAATCGCAGTCACAGCTACCCCTTGCCTTGCCACTTCCTGGTCCTTCTCCCTACACTAGTCCGACACGCGGTCTCACAGAGCGTCGTGAGCCTGAGTCTTGTCCTGTGTCGCCTATGTCTCGTCCTATGTCACGTGTTCGTGCTGCTCGCACTGGTAGCCGTGTTCCGCGTGAGCGTCCTCCACCTGTCCCTGGCACATACTATATGACTCTGCGTCCTTCTACTGCTCCACAGCGTGTCCCTCTACCGTCTCCTCCTGCGTCCTCTCTTCCTGTTCTTGCTGGCCAGGAGTCTGACTCTCTTCGTGCTGCCAGTCCTACTGTCACGCGTCTCCTGGCCACTGCTGTCACTGACCCTTCCTTTGAGTCTGCTGCTGCGTCTGCCCTAGCTGCTGAGCTTGTCGACTTTGCTGCCCACTGTCGTCTAGACTACGCCACCAATCTTGTTGCTGAGTCTGAGTCTGTCTGTCCTCGGTCCGTCGGGGGTGAGTGTGCTCTAGGCACGGACGTCCTTGAGGACAGACAGGAGGACCTTGAGTGTCTTGCAGCCGCTGCGCCTCATCTCGACCCTTGAGGGAGACCCAGATGCTCCAAACATCCCGACACCGCGCTCTTACGCTGAGGCGATCGCGGGTGAGTACTCTCAGTTGCAGTCAGCCATGATGCAGAGATGGCGTCCTGGAATTCCACAGGCACTTACGTCGACGAGGTTCCCCCTCCTGGGGCAAACATCGTCAGTGGCATGTGGATTTTCAAGGTGAAGCGGCCGCCGGGTTCTCCGCCTGTCTTCAAGGCTGGTTACGTTGCTCGAAGCTTCAGTCAGCGAGAGGGAGTAGACTTCTTCCAAACCTTCTCCCCCACCCCGAAGATGACCACTCTTCGGGTGCTACTGCACGTTGCCGCTCAGCATGACTACGAGCTTCTCTCTCTTCACTTTAGCACAAATTTCTTGCAGGGCAGCCTGCACGAGGAGATCTAGCTGCGCCGCCCTCCTGGCTTCACTAGGTCGTTTCCTCCTGGTACCTAGTTGAGCCTCCGGCGGCCGGTCTACAGTCCCCGCCGGGCGCTACGTGAGTGGCACGACACACTGAGGACTACTCTTGCGGCACTTGGGTTCACGCCTTCTACTGCTGACCCGTCGCTGTTTCTGCGCACCGACACTTTGTTGCCGCCGTTCTACATCCTCGTGTACGTCAACGACTTGGTCTTTGCCATCACTAACACTGAGGCTCTTGCCCACGTGAAGTCCGAGCTACAGAAGAGACACACGTGCACAAACTTGGGTGAACTGCACAGCTACCTTGCCTTGCAGATCACCCGGGATAGAGCACGCCGCACCATCACACTGACTCATTCACACATGGTGCAGCAGGTCCTTCAGCGCTTCGGCTTCACCTAGTCCTCAGCACAGGCCACTCCTCTGGCTATAGGTCACTCGCTCTCAGCTCTGCCTTCGGATGAGTCTGTAGAGCCGAGTGGTCCTTACCCAGAGCTAGATGGTTGCCTCATGTACCTGATGACTCGCACTCGTTCTGACCTAGCATACCCTCTTGGCCTTCTGGCCCGCTATGTGGCTCCTGGCAGGCACTGAAAGGTGCACTGGGATGATGCAAAGAGGGTATTGCGCTACTTGTGCAGTACATCGAGCATGGGGCTCGTGCTTGGAGGAGGGATTCCAGTTGTTCTCACTGGGCACTCAGACACTTCTTGGGTTGACGACCAGGCTACTCAGCGGTCGTCACAGTGTTACACCTTCAGCCTTGGCTCTGGTTCAGTTTCTTGGCGTTCTTCACGTTCGTCTTCAGTTCTCGGCTCCAGTTGTGAGGCTGAGATCTACGTGCAGCCATGGCTGCACAGGAGTTACGCTGGCTCACCTACCTGCTGACGGACCTGGGAGAGCAGCCTCGTTCTCCTCCAGTGTTGTACGTCGACAACAAGGCTGCCATTGCCTTGTGTGAGGAGCACAGAACGAAGCACATCGCTCTACGTTACTTTCTGGCTCGAGAGTTACAGCAGCGTGGTCCGCTTCGTTTGCGTTTTGTGGCCTCTCAGGCCAACACTGCTGATATATTCACCAAGGCACTTCAGTGTGGTGATCATCAGTGTTTCTGCACTTTGCTAGTGCTTGTGCCCACTTTTCCTCACTTGTTGTAGACTTTGCCTTTAATGTGATCTATATATCTATACGTGCATACTTGCTAGACATAGATCACTGTGATGTTTGTGCAACATATATGCCTCTGCATGTGAATTGGCCTTGTGGTCCTTTGCTTGTGCTCAGAGTGTGTGGTGACGTTATGATCCACCCTGAGCTTGCTTTGGTTTTCTTAACTAGTCCTATGACCCCTTGTTCTCCCCACTTAGCCTATGGGGGTGTGTCAAACATTATATATGTTTCTGTTGTGTAGGCTACAGTGGGTTAGCCTTTAGGGGGTACATTTCACTAGGGTTTCCTACTTGTACTCCAACAACTTTCTAGTGTATCACTTCTTGTTTCTGACATAGTCCTTATCGTAAGCTCTCGGATAGTAGATCCCCCGGAATAGAAGACCCACGGGTCTGTATTATGGGGGCGGGTCTTTTATTTTGGCAGGTTTTCACTATACCCCCCCTTGAAGGGGTACACATTACTAGACCCCCCCCCCCCCCCCCCCCCCCTTATGGTTGTCACTAGTTTATAATGGAAATAAGATGTCTTTTCAAGTGCTTCACTAGCAAGACAAGTTTGACACCAATGCAACCTATTCACGGTTTGCATTTCATAGATTTAGGGGGCAACAAGGGGTGAGAAAAAACATAAAAAGAGTCACTCATCCTCACCTGCAACCCACTCCTCCACTTCCTCTCCCTCATAGCAGCCTGCTGCCCACCAGTCGTCTCCATCCTCACTCCACTCGTCCGCACCTCCCATCTCTGCATCTGCCTCATCCCCCTCCTCATCCGGAGCCATCACATCCCCTTCCTCGGCAGCAGCACCCACCACATCCTCCTCCCTTGCAAGCCCTTCCTCCTCGTCCTCTGCCTCGACCTCCTTGGTGGCGGCGGGCTCAGGGGCGTGCGAGGGGTCTTCGTAGAACGGGTTGGGGTTCACCCCGTCCCCCCCCTCGTCCAGCACATCCTCCAGCACCTCCACTTCCGCCTTGTCCCGCAGGTGAGCGAGGATCAGATGATCCTCGCTCCCGTCTTCGGCACTGGAGATGCCGCAGGTGAGGAATGCTTTCTTCACCAGCTCTTGGCACATCAGCCCATGACTCGACGATCCACTTCAGGATCACTTCCAAGGGGTGCTTCTTCAAGTTCCCTGGAGTTCACTAGAAGGATGAACGGCAGAGATGTAAAGGCAGTGAAGTTAATGCTGCCTAGTCATATTAAAGCTCACGAATCGACCACGACTCACCTGCACGTGTCGTTTGGCTGATCCCGACCTCCTCAAACCACGTGCTGTAGCGGTGGCAAACACTGCACTTGAAACTGTGGTTGATGGAGACGTCAAGCGGATGCACCAGGGGGGTGCAACCGCCAGGGATGACGGCACGCGTCACCTTAAACATCTTCAGAGTTTGCCCCACGGATTCCGCCAGATGCCCCTTGTACGAGTCAATGACAAGGAGCGCTTGCTTGCGCCGTCTGCCCTCATCCCACAACGGCTTCAAGAAGAGGACGAGCACCTGTGTCGTCCATCGAGCCCTTCTCTTGGGCGCGGATGACGATACCTGCATAATTTACAACTAGAAATCAGTCACGGAGAAACGAGGAACATAAGGAATCAACGACGGAAACACATCGGGCTCACATGGTGGCACCACGATTCGTGGCACCGTCTTCCGCTTGAAGATGACATATTGGGGAAGCTTCACGCCGTCAGCCGTCACTGCCAACATGACAGTGACACGCTCCTTCTCGTACCCTGCCAACCTGACATGCACCGCGCGGGCGCCTTTCATTTCGAGGGTGCGTTCTGCCGGCATCTCCAATTAAAGCGGGGTCTGGTCAGCGTTCATGGGCCACTTCGCCCTACGCACTCCACCGTTAAGACGTTGGTGACAACCAGCGGAAACCTCGAGACGCTCCTTGAGTCGCCTCCACTCGCGGATTCGCTTGGGCTGCACCTTGGCGAGCTTTGCCAAGCCACGGATGCTGAGGTCAGGCTATGACTCCAACGTGGCTAGCCAGTGCAGTTTCTCCTTGGCGGTGAACGCGTTACGAGAGCGTTTCATCATCCTATGACGAGGGGAAAGAGGTGCAGCATCTAGAATTCTTCGTTTCATGCCTTGCGGGCGACTAGACTCCGGAAAAGTAGGGATCACGAATCTAGGAAGCGGCGGTCGGCGAATGCCATGGGAATTGTCGCTAGGATCACTGGAGGAAGGTGAAGTTGTTGGCAAAACGGGACGGGGTGAAACTCGTGCTTGCGATGCTCGATTAGCGCTAGTGGGACGAGGGCGCCTTGCGTGCGACATCCCTGAATCTGGAGACGTCACCATCGTCAACAATAGCTTACACCTCTAGCTACTGCTCTAAGTACTTCCTCCAGCCATGTTAAGACGACCATCCTAGAGCTACGGGCCCTAAGCGCACCACTCTGCCGAGCAGATATCAGTTTCGTGGGTGGATGAAGAAACAGTCGGAAGAGCAGGATTGTGAAAGGATTGACGTGCCTCTCGTTGAACAGTAGGGGTTCCTGCTGGGGCCACCGTGCAACCCCTCCGCTCGAGCCGTGCATGTGTCAGGGTGTCGAAGTGGGATGGCACGCTGACGAGCCACAAAACGAATCTTAATTATGGAATGTAGTAATGTCTCAATGAGAAGGCCAATGAGAAGGCCACAAACTGATTCCCCTATGTGATGTGGCTACATCGCAGAAGACGCACACGTGCAGCCCAAACAACAGTGAAAAAAAAAAATGTCAAGCATCCTCATCCATGAGGCATTCGATTAAGACCCGGGTCGATCATTATAGCAATTTAATAAGACCCGGGTACTATACAATCTTGTGCCGTTGACAAGACCCCCCCTATTTTTACATAAGACCCTAGGGTCTACTATCCGGGAGATATGTCTCGGAGTATGGATTGTGTTGTCATAGAAACTCGAATGCAGCAACCAGGCCAACATTGGTGCCAATCCAGCAGTTCATGTTTTTTGGAGAAGACATTGTTGCCCAACCTGGGGCTTATGGGGGGTTGATTGGGCATTCTGTTTCCAATGCACATCACCATCGCTGCGACAGACACAATGACCTCTTAAACGAGCCAATTGTACCGTCACCCCCCGGATATAAGCGCCACCCTAGGATAAGCGCCTGGCGCTTCTAATTGGCATATGGCGCTTATATCCCCTCCTCGATTATAAGCGCATACCCTAGAGTCGTACGGATTATAGCCGCATACCTGTACCTTACACATTATAACTGCCACTTTTTTTAAAAAAAAAAATTCTACACGCTTCACTAACCACATTAACATTGTATATTTTCATCTAATTAATTACAAAGTCAATTTGTCTAAAGTTTTTTCTAATTACAGTTCTAAATCTACCTACGAGTCTCACAGGCTACAACAATTTCTAGATCTACGTAATCTAGTCATCAGCTGCGGTAGGATCATCCGGGTCGGCCTCAGAGTCCGACTCTGGTTCTTCTACGTTGTTGCAGAAAAAGCCATCTGCTGCAATGTCGTCGTCGATGTCTATTTCGTCGCCCTCAAGCTCGTCGCGCCTGTGTTGCAGGCACATCTTGTCCTGGGACCCATCCAGGGCGTTACTAATGCCACAGGTGAGGAAAGCCCGTTGAATCAAGTCCCTGGGCACGGCCTTCCAAGCCGCTGATATCCACTTGAGCGTTAGCTCGGGTGGTGGCTTCTTGATGTTGCCTGCCATAAAATTTAAACAATCAAAAGTCAGCCACCGCTACAAACTGTTAAAGCAGCACACGCATGGCCTGCCTCTCTCACCTTTCTTTGTCAAGGTGTCGACCCCCTCGCTCTCGAACCACTCCTGGTAGAGCTGGCGAACGGATGCCTTGAAGGAGCGATTCACCGCGACGTCCAGAGGTTGAATCTCCGAGGTGCAGCCAGCTGGGATAACGGCAGGGACGATGTTCAGCTCCCCGAACTTCTTCTTCACCTCCGCAGTCAGGTGCCCGCGGTACGAATCCAAGACGAGCATCGCTTTGCGGGGCCTCACTCCGAACTTGGGGTGGACGAACGGCTTCACTGCCCCGTCGAGCCACTCGATGACTCCGTCCGCGTCCATCCAACCGTTGGGATGGACGGACACCGTAACATCTGCACAGCCATAAACGCACGTACAACATCAGTAGACATAGAAAAAAAAAAAACATGCAGCAGTGGGTGTTAATGCTCACCTGAAGGGAAATCCCCTTTAGGCAGGGTCTTCCGTTTGAAGAAGACCCACGGCTTCAGCTTCTCACCGCTGGCAGTGCAGGCGAGCATCACCGTAACTCGCTCCTTCTGATAGCCGCCGCTGCGGATAGGCACAGAGCGCAGACCCACCTCCTCGACTGTGCGTTCGGCAGGCATCTCGAGCCACAGTGGTGTCTGGTCCGCGTTTATTATCCACTGCGGGTCAATCTTGTATTGGCGGCGGGTGTGACGCACGAACTTCCAGAAATTCCTGACGTCAGTCTCGCAGTCTGGGAGTACGGGTGGGAGGGAAAGAGAGAAGAGAGTATTAATGACGCGTTAAAATTCAACCGTGAAACATAAAGAGACAAACAACACAAAGCAGTACACATTAAACTGCAACCATTTCCCACAAAACTCACTGGCAGCAAGCTTCTGGCCGACCCTGGTCTTCGCTCGGGTTGTCAGATTCCAACGGCGGCGAAACCGCTCAGTCCACCGCTGCGAGCCGGACCACTTTACCTGTGGGTGCAATTCTTTCATCACCTCATGCGACCACTTCTGTAGGCGAGCAATCGAGACCGCGAGACATTTTTTACGGTGGGCAAGAAACCTCCTGTAGACTTCAGCTTCCATGTCGCGATACCACGAGCTCCTTCCGCGCCCATGAAGACGCTTGCGAGCAGCATGCGCGCCCTCCAGGTCAGCCTTCCGGGTCTTCCATTCTGCGAGTGACCTTCGGGAGATGCCGGTTTGGCGAGACATCTGCCGCACGCTCATGTGCCCGGACTCAAGCTTGAGAATCCACTGCAGTTTCTCCTGCGATGTGTAAGAGTGCCGCTTGTGACTTGAAGGCTTGTGCCTGGGGGAGGGAGGACGGGCATCGCGATTCTCGCGAGAAGGGTGGGGCCGTTTCTTATTGGGGGGGGGGAAGGTGGGAATAGGCAGGTGCTCTGGAAGACCGTCGGCAGCCCAAAACTCCACGTCATCCTCCGCACCAGTCGCGGATTCGTCCAACGGGCAATCAGCCGGGGCTCCCCAGCGTGGCGACGGTGCGGAGGAAGACGATGCGCCACCGGCGCGGTCGGGCTCGGACAGGTACGCGTCAAACGCCGAGTAGCCAGGAGGGAGGAGAAGCTGCAGGACCCCCTGACGTGGAGCACAAAACACAGGCGGGTCAGGAGGGGACGGAGGAGCTGGAGGAACCGGAGGCGCCGGGGGAGCGGGAGGTGCAGGAGGAGTTGGGGGAGTGGGAGGAACGGGAGGAGCTACTGGTTGACACGGAGGGACGGGCGCAGGGCGCGACTGCCATTGAGAGTAGTCACAGGTGTCTCGGCGGGTGTTTTCTCTGGCAGCAGGATGGCGGCGGAACAAGAAATGCGTGCCTGGAAGGCCCGCCATGGCCACGGCAGGCCAAACGAACAAAGAAACTGAAGGCAAAAGTCGAGAATGAGGGCTGTATGAAGCCCTCGCCCGAGACCCCTTCATTTTCGCGGCCCGGCCTCCTCTGCGGGAAAAGGGTGGCCCCAGTCAAGATTCCCCGCAGAGGAGCTGAGCTGGGCAGCTCCTTGCCTCGGTGGCGGGGAATTTTGCTGTTGATGGGCACACCGTGGCTGAACCACGACGTGCCCACGATCGCATGCAACCCTGATTGGGCCGCTGTGATGCGAGGTACGTGTGCACTGGCATGGGTCAGGTTCACGTTCGATGAACCTGGCCTGGCCAACAAGGCGTGGAAGGCGTGAAGCCACGCCTTGTTGGCTGTTTCACACGCAATGCATGCACAGTTTCGAACGTTCTCGACCCAGGTGAATCCGCGTTTGAGAATGCTTCGATTTGGTATATTAAAAAACAAATTTCAAATTTGACAAATTATAAACGCCGGCGCTTATAAATTTACTATATTATAAGCCCACCCCCTCAAAAAAACATGTTATATTATAGCCCCCCATGGGGGTATATCCGGGGGGTGACGGTATCTTCCGGCAACTATTGCGTGGAAGGAGCGGAGGATGGAGAGGGAGAGAGGGAGGGTGCTCGGCGTCAATGGTTGGTTCGCTACCCAAGGTACCACATATTTTTCCAATGAGAATGATTCACCCGATTCCTCCACAAATGAACTCAACAGATGGTTACAGATTCACAAAACGGGCAGTCATTACTGATCCTGTTGCTCCCGCAGGAGCAGCTGCTGCTGCTGCTCCGGCTGCACCTGCTGCTGCCCCTCCACCTGCCCGTCACCTCCAGCATCCCCTGCCCCCCATCTCCTCCGCACAAGCCACACCAGGCATCGCCCCATGAGAAACACTCCAGAGAACCACAGGCAGAAGGACTCTGAAAGGAGAGACTCAGGCCGAATGGCCCACGCATAGGGGCACACAACCCCCCTCCTCCCTTCGCCTCTTGCACCTTTTCCTCCCCGAACCACACCCAATCCCCCCCCCTGCTGCCACCACTGCTGCTGCTGGAGGTGCCTGGTTTGCCGCTTGGAGTCTTCCAAAGCAGCCATGTACGGACACATGTGGAAACTGGATGCTACCCCATGCAGGAATGGCTTGGCTTCTTCACCTGCTGTGCCTGCCTCATCCACTGCTCCGCCTTCCGCTTCTGCATGTATGCTTGCGCCTGTGCTGGCGCCAGCTTGCGATGAGTCAGCAGCAGCTTGTGCTGAGTCAGCGGCAGGGGAAGGTGAGTCGGATCCAGCGCGCTTGGAGCCCCAGGTGACTGCAGAAGCAGGTTGATCCCAGCCAAACCATAGACTGAGAGGTGAAGAGTCAGTGGCGAAGGGGTTGGGGGACGGCTGCAGGGGAGAGAAAGGGGAGCTTGTGGGACCTGGATGGAGGGAAGAGGGAGCGGGGAGGAGTGAGAGAGGAGGGGTTACAGTGGGAATCGAAAGAAGGGTGGAGAGTACGACATAGCAGTTATTGGAAACACCGTGGTACATTCAACCATTATCTGGAAGAAATTAGCCATAACAACAAAGGGAGTGAGGTCGGAGATGTCTTGCAGCAGCAAAGCCATTGTTGCAAGGAATGACGCTTGTCATGTACGAGAGTGAACCTACTTACACTTGCTGCCCTTACACTTGCTGCCCTTACACCCACTGCCCTCACACCCGCTGCCCTTACACCCGCTGCCCTTACACCCACTGCCCTCACACCCACCGCCCTTACACCCACCGCCCTTACACCCACCGCCCTTACACCCACTATCCTTACACCCACTTCCCTTACACCCACCGCTCTTACAGCGAGTAAACGCTGAAATGTATTCGGAGAGGTGTGCGGCAGTGCGTGGGCCCCGGTAGCGGATCCGAGTGGTGGAGTTCTGCAGAAAGAGAGCCGGCACACTGTACACGCCCATGCGCGAAAGAACGCTGCAGGAGCATCGCAGAAAGGGGGTGGCAGGATGGGATATGGTAGGAAAAAGTGGCGAGAAGAAGAAGGGGAAGGAAATGGAGAAGACAGGTTGGTCGGGAGGAGGGGTGGGCGGGAAAGAGGGGGGAGAGGAGCAGGAGAGCAGAAGACAGCCAGAAGCAAGACAGCCTGAAAAAAACTGGACAACTCAACCACCTTGAACCTCTTGCATCACACAGAGCTCGTTCCTTTCCAACCTTAACTCCGCATCCCCCCGACAACGGTTAGTTCGCTTGTACGTGTGTCACCTCACCTGGGTCAGAGCTCCTTCTTATCGAAGGCCACGTGTAGTATGTGGGGGAATCACCTTGTCATCAGCTGGTAAGTGCGTTACCTTAATTCAAACTGGCAGGTAAGTCACGTCACCTGGGTCGGAGCTCTTTCTTGTCGATGGCCACGTGCAGTATGTGGGGGAAGAGTGGCGCAGTGGATGAGAGGAGTACGCGCAGCTGCGAGGAGAAGGGGCACCAGTCCGTGTATACCAGCACACACGCTGCACGGCACACTACAGAAGCACGGTTTGCCGCACCGCTCCTGCTGCCCCTGCTCTTGCTCCTGCTGCTGCTGCTGCTGCCGGTGCTGGAGCCGGTGCTGCTGGTGGTAGCGGTGTTACTCCCGCTGTCGCATGTTCCTTGGTGGCCGGTTTGGCTAGGGCAGGTGTGGGGTGGTTCAGAAGGGGTTGGCTTGGATTCCGAGGCGGAGTGGGTGGATGTGGGGGGAGAAGGGGAGGTGTGCGGATGGGGGAAGGGAAGCGACGGGGAAGGGGTTGTGGAGTGGAAGGAGGATGAGGGAGTTGCGGGTGGAGAAGTGAGTGCTGTCGGGTTGGAAGCGGTGAGAAGCTCAAAGAGGCGGTTGAGAGTGGTGGCGTTGACCTGAGGAGGTGGAAGGTTGGGAGAGACACGTGAGGATGGGAGATAGAGTGGAATTGGGAAGGAGTGTTGAGGGAGAGGGAAGGGGGAAAATATGAGAAGGAAATGAAGATTGGAGGTTATGTGCAGGCATGAAAGAGGTAAGAGTGAACACGAAGTGGTTGTGAGTGGTGAATGAGAAAAACGACGAAGGGCTGAGAACTGATGACGTATAACCTGACCTCTATGATAGGCTCCTCATCTGCCTCTCGCCTCAACTGCGTTTCAAATGCGTCCCAATCTGACACGACCGGGACTTGAGATGACACGGGCTCGGATTGAGATGAAACGGCCTCCGGCTGAAACGAGACGGGGTCAGATTGAGGTGACATGGCTTCAGGTACAATACGAACTTCGTCATCATGACCTTCTGGAATCGCGTCAGGAGCTCCTATTGCCACGTCAGACAGGGAGATGACCGCGGGGAACGCGTCGAAGATGCACAACACTGACAGCAGAACGACAAGGTTTCGAAATTTGTCGCGACGTGGTCGTAGTCTACCAAAGGTGTCTGGATCCGAACGCGAAGCGTTTCGTAGACGCCACCTAACGAGCATTTTGCGGGCGTGTGCTTTTTGCCGAGCTCTGCGCCACGGAAGAACCAAGTAGAGATGTCGTGAAGAGGAACTGATCCAAGCCAGCTTTGGTATGCAGAATCTGACTGACGCATCGGGTTTCTCTGCTCTACACACACGGGCTGCCTTCTCAAGTTCTAGAACACTAGATTAGTGATATAGACTAGAGAAGTGTTACGAGGTAGCGAGGATTGCACTAAGTTGTCAAACGAGTACAAAATGTGAGCGAAGGGATGAGCAAACATTTATAAGCGAAACATGGAAACGGTAACGCGGTGCATGTGAGCTAGCTAGTGCTAGGCTGGCATCGAAGCACGGGCTAGTCCCGAAGCGTAGGCTGACACGGCAGGGCCAGCAGAACATGGTTTGGTGAAACAGTGCGCGCGAAGTTGGCGAAGCCCTGTTAGCAGTATCGGGGGAACAACGGCTGTTGATGTACGCAATGTTGCAGGTTGCGGTAAGGAACGTCGAGAAAATTCCTTACACTACCCCCCCCCCTTCAAGAAACCCCCTCCGCTACGCGAGTGCGTGTATATCGCGAAAACCCCGGCTCCTCAGGTACACTTGCAAGGCAAGGTGGGTTTCAATGCTGGCCAAGGGCACCTTGTTGGAATAACGGAACAGGAATGGATGAACTAACAGTGAAAACAGTACAAATACCTAACCCTAGAATTGTGTACCCCCTATAGGCTAACCCACTGTAGCCTAAACAAGCACAACATGTATAAAGTTTGACACACCCCCATAGGCGAAGTGGGGGAGAACTAGGGGTCACAAGACCAGTCAAGGCAAAACAAGCTCGGGGTGGATCTCAACGATACTACACAAATTCCAAGCACAAGCAAGTGGTCACAAGACCAGTTCACATGCAGGTTTATAATAGAACAATTGGTACAATGATCACAACCTAGCAAGAGTAAACATGCAGGTATATACATATAGAGATCACAGTACAAACAGACTCAAGAAGTAAGCAAGTGAGGTACAGTAGGCACAAGGCCTAGAAGAGTGCAAAAGCGCTGATGGTCACAAGGCTGAAGCGCCTTGGTGAACACATCAGCAGTGTTGGCCTCAGAGGCCATGTAACGCAGACGAAGCTGACCACGCTGCTGCAGCTCTCGAGCAAGGAAGTAGCGCACAACAATGTGCTTCGTTCTGTGCTCCAGTCTGTGCTCCTGACACAAGGCAATGGCTGCCTTGTTGTGGACGTACAGCACTAGAGGAGAACGAGGCTGCTCTCCAAGGTCGGTCAGCAAGTAGGTGAGCCAGCGTAGCTCCAGGGCCGCCATGGCTGTGGCGTAGATCTCAGCCTCACAACTGGAGCTGAGAACAGAAGAAGAGCGAGTAGAACGCAAAGAAACCGAACCAGAGCCAAGACTCAAGGAGTAACCCTAAGACGACCACTGAGGCGTCCGAGTGCCCAGTGAGAAAAACTGGGACTCGCCCTCCAAGCACTAGCCCCATGCCCGACGTACTGCACAAGTAGCGCAACACCCTCTTAGCTGCATCCGTGTGCTCCTTTCGGTGACGGCCGGGAGCGACATAGCGTGCAAGAATGCTGAGAGGGTATGCAAGGTCAGGTCAAGTGCAGGTCATCAAGTACATGAGGCAACCCACAAGCTCTGGATACGGGCCACTCGGCTCTACAGACTCATCCGAAGGCAGAGCTGAGAGCGAGTGACCGGTAGGCGGAGGAGTGGGCTGAGGCGAGGAGTACGTGAAGCGGAAGCGCTGAAGGACCTGCTGCACCATGTGTGACTGAGTCAAGGTGATGGTGTGGCGTGCTCTGTCCCGGGTGATCCTCAAGCCAAGATAGCTTATCAGTTCACTCAGGTCTGTGCACGTGTGTCTCTTCTGCAGCTCCGACTTCACGTGGGCGAGTGCTGCAGTGTCAGCAGTGGCAAAAGACCAAGTCGTCGACGTACACGAGGATGTAGAACGGCGGCAGTGAGGTGTCGGTGCGTAGAAACAGCGACGGGTCAGCAGTAGAAGGCGCGAACCCAAGAGCCGCAAGTGTAGTCCTCAATGTGTCGTGCCACTCACGTGACGCCTGGCGGAGACTGTAGACTGGCCGTCGGAGGCTCCACTGGGTACCAAGAGGGAACGACCCAGTGAAGCCAGGTGGACAGCGTAGCCAGATCTCCTCGTGCAGGCTGCCCTGTAGGAAAGCAGTGCTGAAGTCAAGAGAGTGGAGCTCGTAGTCACGCTGAGGGGCGACGTGCAGCACAACCCGAAGAGTGGTCAACTTCGGGGTCGGGGAGAAGTTCTGGAAGAAGTCAACTCCCTCTCGCTGACTGAAGCCTCGTGCAACGTAACGCGCCTTGAAGACAGGCGGAGAGCCCGGCGGCCGCTTCACCCTGAACATCCACATGCCACTGACGATGTTCTCCCTAGGCGAAGGAACCTCGTCGACGTAGGCGCCTGTGGACTTCTAGGAAGCCATCTTTGTGTCCATGGCCGACTACGACTGAGAGGAGTAGGGACCGGCCATCGCCTCTGCGTAAGAGCGTGGGGTCGGGATGTCTGGTGCATCCGGGTCTCCCTCAAAGGCAACAAGCATGGACACGAGATGGGGCAAAGCGGCACTAAAGCATTGGAAATCCTCCTGCCTGTCCTTAATGACGTCAGTGCCAAGAGCACACTCACCCCCAACGGACGGAGGACAGACAGACTCAGACTCAGCAACCAGGCTGGCAGCGTAGTCTAGATGACAGGTGGCAGCAATGTCGACAAGCTGAGCAACTAAGGAAGACGCAGCAGCGGACTCAAAGGAACGGTCAGTGACATTAGTAGCCAGGAGACGCGTGACAGTAGGACTGGCAGCACGAAGGGAGTCTGACCCCGGGTCAGCAAGAGCACGAAGAGAGTACTCTGGAGGAGACAGCAGTGGGACACGCTGAGGAGCAGTGGAGGGACAAAGCGCCATCCGGTGAGTGCCTGGGACAGCTGGAAGACGCTGACGCTCGACACGACTACCAGTGAGAGCAGCACGGATAGGCAACGCAAGACGAGACTCAGGCGACGCAGGACGAGACTCACGCTCACGACGCTCAGTAAGACCTCCAGTCGGACGAGTGTAAGGAGTAGGACCAGGGAGAGAGGAGGCAGACGGTAGCTGCGACTGGAGCGGGACAAACGGAGGACACCCTAAGGAGGGAGGAGGACAAGGAGGAGGGAGCTGACCAAGAACCTGCTGAAAGAGCGGAACGAAGTACGGCCGCGACCGTGCAGCGACACCAGTACCAGCAGAGACACCCGCACCTGGGTCCGCAGCTCCAGTAGCTGCACTAGCGACACGGTCTCCAGTACCAGCAGCAGCACCAACGCCCGAGTCCCCAGCACTAGCAACAGCTCCAACGCCCGGGTCCGCAGCACCAGCAGCAGCTCCAACACCCGGGTCCGCAGCACCAGCAGGAGCTCCAACACCTGGGTCCTCAGCACCAGCAGCAGCTCCAACGCCCAGGTCCGCAGCACCAGTAGCAGCTCCAACACCTGGGTCCTCAGCACCAGCAGCAGCTCCAACACCTGGGTCCGCAGCACCAGCAGCAGCTCCAACACTCGGGTCCTCAGTACAAGCAGCAGCTCCAACACCTGGGTCCTTAGCACCAGTAGCAGCACCCAGGACAGCGGGGTCCGCGACACGAGGCGCGCCACTTGGAAGAATGCAGCGCCGCTCGTACCACTCACGGATCCGCTCACGGGAGGGGAGATCCCGACTAGGAGGAGAAGCACTAGCACCAGTCCCAGTAGCACGCTTGGCTCCAGAGGTACCTCTCCTAAGGCTGTAGTACTGTAAGTTCCACTCACGCAGCTGACCCGAGGAGAGGGCTCCTCCAGGTGTAGGACTATCGTGCTTAGCACCTCCAGACTCAGAACCCCCAGACTCCAGACTCTGCGGCTCACCACCCCGAAGCTCAGCATCCCCAGGCTCAGCACCCCCAGACTCCACACCCCCAAGCTCCGCACCCCCATGCTCCGCACCCCCAGGCTCCGCACCCCCAGGCTCAGCACCCCCAGTCTCAGCACCCCCAGGCTCAGCACCCCCAGCAGGACGAGAGTTGAGAGCTACCTCAACAGGCTCAACTGGGTCTACCTGAGACACACCTGAGGGAGCGGCACCCTGAGGGGGGAGGGGGTCTGCAACAGCAGCACCTGGCGCGAGGAAGAGAGGCGGGGGGGGAGCGGGGCAGTGCAGTAGGGGAAGAGGCAGTAGTAGGGGACGGACTTGTCAAAAGTGACGTCCTGGGAGGGCAAGACTCGACGCGAGGTGGCGTGGTAAAACTGCCAACCAGACGCGTCCGGGACAAAGCCGAGGAAGACGCAGGGAACAGCACGGAAGGAGAGCTTGTCCGCAGACTTATCGTGGACAAAAGCTCGAGATCCGAAGACGCGGAAAGGCGACGCAACGCCAACCTCCCCCATCCACAGCAGCGTGGGCGAGGTCTCCGGCAAGGAGACACGGGGCCAGAGGTTGAGCTGATGCGCAGCGTACCGGACTGCAAACGGCCACAAAACGTGGGGGGCAGCCGCATGGATCAAGGAGGTACGGGCGACCTCCATGACCAGGCCAATGCGGCGCTCCGAAATCCCATTCTGCTGTGGAGAGGCCGGAAGCATGAACGACTGCTCAATGCCGTGCTCAGCACAGTGCCAAGAGGTCGGAGGAGAACTCACCACCTCTGTTAGAGTGCAAGCGTAGGACAGGAAAGTCCGAGTGGAAGCGCTCCCTGAGCTGGAGACGAGCTTTGCGGATCCAA